CGTATCAGCGATAGTGAACTTTTTAATTGCTCGATGCGCGAGCTTACCTACTCGATCGTTAATTAACAAACCGTGCACTGGAACATTGCGCCCTATTTCTCGAAGTGTTGCAGTCCCTCGATCGCGTACTTGAACCTTCACATGAAATTTTGCTTCGGTTATGTGACACCTACACAATTTTGAGATTGCATGAATCGCGTCGATCTGTATCTTGTTTGTGCCTTTGTACTATTGGGTATAGATAGGCAAAACGAGAGGGATACTACAGAACTGCGTAAAAGTCGCGTAGGTGGCCAATAGTCTACTAACTATTGTCTCTAGCAAAGTATAAAATATTCAAGTTGAATACCATTTTTCAAAAGTTCAAAGTCTCCAGAAAGGTCGACAAATTCAGATCTGTAATTAGGACATTATCAGTCGAAAACATTAATCGAAAGGTACTTCAGAAGAAAGAAGTTAAACTGATTCTAACCGATTAGCAACGAAATCACTCATCCACTGACCCAATGCTCGCACAAGAGGAATCGATGGAACAAGCCGGACGGGATCGCCGGGGACTCCGAAAGGAAACCCGGCTAGATTGAAAGAGCATCCGCCAGGCGGCCGTAATCGGGCCGCTATTCGACGTAACCACAGACAACTCGGTCGGTGTACCGCGTGTTCTCTGCTTTCACGGTGGCGTGTATAATCTGTTACACCGGGATTCAGAACGCGGTGCGGCTCCGCGCGAGCACCGATGGGTAATTACCGAGCGAACGAGAGAAAGGAGCGAGACGAAGATGGCCAGGGAGACAGACCAAGCAAGGCGAGCTCGGGGGACAAGAGGGAACGGTCAGCGAGCAGACAGATTTTGCACGCATGTGCGTGACGAGCGTGTAAACTGTCGGCGCTGATGGACGTGTGCCACGTGAACCGCATAATGAGTGGCGATCATTGGCTGACCGTTCGCCCACTCAGCCTTTGAACGACGTGTCTCTCCCCTCCTCCATCACACTTCTCCTGTTCAACCACGAGAGACGATAACGCGATGACCTCGAGATAAATTGGTCATCCGCGAGCACGCGGTGTTCAATGACACCCCGACCCGGACCGACGAAAGAAGAAAGTCTGCGTGCCGCGGCTGCCAATTGGTTGCGCAATGAATTCGTTCGAAATGTCAAAGAGGTAAAAGGACAGACCGGCGGGAGAGCTCAATGAACGCCTCTGCGTCCCCGATCGGGAACCTCTTATCTCGACCGGGCTTATCTCCATGGCGATCCTGTCCGTCTCCGTAAAAAAGAAAGGTGTCATAGGAGGAAGACCGGTCGGACAACCTGTTCGTAAACTTGAACGGAACTGAGATAGATGTCGGACGACGAGGTAATCTGTGCTGGGTTCTACGCTGGTAACTGGTGGTAATTAGAGATGCGGACGGTCGATATGGGGATATTAAATATTATGGCTTTCGAAGAACGAAGTTTTCCTCTGGAAACGAGCGCCTAGGGGAATATGAAAGTTCTATCGAAGCTTGTAAATCTGAAGAAAATTGAGGCGGATACCTTCACGGTGGATTTATCGAAGCAAAGGCCTATATTAGTAGCCTTCCTATTGCTTGTAGCTAAAGGTCTTTCTATAAAAAACGAGTAGGCACTATCGGATCCATCACTTTCTCGCAAATAAGAAACGACAGATTTTTCAGAAGGAAGATCCGACGATCGGATCACGCTTCAAAGCGAACGCAATCCTGCACAAGGTTGCAGCCTCTCTCTAGCAGAGTCGACATCGATCATTCATTCCTTTTCTTTGCCAGCCGACAGACTATTTTTACGGCTTCCTAGCGAGTATTCCTCCTCGTCCTTTCCCTCCGTACCAATTACCAAACGATCTTGGACGAGGTCTTCCAGCGCAGGAGACGAAGAAGAAGGAGACGGCGGAGGCAGAAAAGAAGCCGAGCCTGACCTTGTGCCCAAATGCCAGTTTCTGTTGCCACAGTCACCGATTACTTCTCTCTGTTGGTACCTCTCTCGTTGTATGTATGTGTAAGAGTGCCCGCGCACGCGGAAAGGTCGACAGGGGCGAGGAGGGAGGCTTGCATAAGCGTTAAATCGTGCTCGTTACACGGAGAGGCCACGTAACTGGACGTATTTGGAGCAGAATAACAGCGCGGCACCGCGAGCCTAGTGTTCCTTCGAGGAAAAGTCTGGAATTGCGGTGTCTTCCGGCACGGTTGTTAGTTGATGGGAACACTGGTCGTTCGAAATTGCAGCTTCGCGGTGCGAATCTTTCGAAAACGTGGCTCAAATGTTACATTTTCCTTTCTTAAGACCTCTGACCATTTGAAAACAAAATCTTCGTGCTTCAGCTAAAATTTCTTGTAGCTTTTGTATGTGTGGCTCACTGTTCCATTGCAATGTATCATGGAAATACTTGAATTAGCTAATGATATCTGATTCCAAAAGGTACTCTCTAAAGTCAGCTTTGACTGCAGATGCAAAGCAATTTCATAGAAGCCAATAATCTTGACTAACAATATCCAATGCAATATGTAGAAATTGTTAAATTATATTGTATCATTATCATACGATCGGTCTATCGGTTTCCGACAAGGGTACAAAGCAAAGGAAAGCTCTCCAAGCTGGATAGCTTATTGTCCACAACTAGATCGGGCTAGGTACTCCAGACCTTTAATTAGATATTCCAGGGAAGGCAGCAGCGTTAATAGAACCTTGGACCCAGCAAAGAGCCAGGTTTCGTGTGGTTGGTTGCGATTACGTGTTTCCAGGAAGACTGGGTTCTGGATTCCATGCGTCGATCTGGCAAGCCGGTTCATCGATCGACGGCCGATTACGATCGGCAATCCTTGTAGGTTTCGTGGCCGCGCGATCCGCTATGCACGAAAAGCAATGAGATCGCGGGGAAAGCGCGTTTCGCGGCCGACACGAACATCTCTGCCGGTTAATGAAGATTTCGCGTGACACCAGGGATTGCGGGCACACAATCGGGCCTAGATCTGTGCCGCGCCGATCGATTCTGCGTACATTTTTTTTACGATCTCGCCGGAAAAGGTTCTTCAAGGATAAGGTGAAACGGCAAAATTTTCCGAACGGCAGTGTTAAAGGATGACAAGTTGGTTAGCAAGAGGCTTTTTTTATAGTACCTTGCACTGATTTGTACATTTGTGATAGTTTCGGGTAATATTGAAACGTGCGTGAAAGAAGATAAAGCTATTAGATTTCGATCAGCAGGATAATGAGATGCCAATCAGACCATCATTTTCTGCCCAGCAAACTCGTCATTTCCGCAGTAGAAGACCTCTGCTGGAACGACTGCCAGGGATCGACGGATACGCACGTGCTGACCGCGACAGTCTCGAATTGGACAGAGCCAGAACCTATGAACGACCACGTAGCAATTTGCCCGGCTTGATGTCTGTCGTTAAGCGAATGATAGGCGGTCGAAAAGAAGCGCGCGTGGGACGGACGACACGGTTTCTCTGATGAGACGAATTTACGCGGCACGCGGATTCGCCTCGGTCGGCATCCACTCGTTCCTCTCTCTTCTCCAGGATCGAACGGAGACGTAGCCCGTCCTCGACCGATTCGCGGAATTTCACGATTTTTCTGTCTTCACGGGCAAATAAACGGCTGATCGGAAGAGGGAGGGGAAGAAGCGAACGAGCGGGCGAACCGGCCGGTCCGAGGCTGGTTTATTTTCACCGGGTAGCGGTGATCCCGCTGGCAAATAAACGAATTCCGAGGACTGTTCAATACCAATGTCGCGGGCAGGAACGCGTAACCGCGTGATCGGTGCATCGGGCCGCGAACCGAGTCACCGGGTACGAGTACACTCCTCCGTCCCTTCCCGTGTAACCGGCACCAACGGAACGGTGAATCACGAGCGGCCAGTTCGGTCGTCCAAATAAACTCGAGGCGTCGTCGAGTTACTTCATCGGCGGGGCTATTCCTGGGAGCCTGAATTCTTTGTTGGTAATCCGAAAATAAGTGAAGCAGGCGCGCCTGTTCCCGATGCGTTTCGTGCTTTTCACGGAAACTGAAATTTGCGGGGTGGGACCGTTTAAAGCGTCCTTCGCGAAGGTCAACTTCTAGAGACAAGTTTTCGTGGGTACTGCTGTTTGTAGGTGTTTGAGGCTCATTTATAATTAAAAGTGCGGCGTCATGGGTCACTGATTCTAGCTGATGACCGTTCGATCGGTGGAAGCGTGCAATGGTGTGTATCTGTCGCAACGACCCGACGGAAGTTCGCAAACGACCCGCAGCTGGCGCCCGGAAACACACGCAGGTATATGCGCGGCTGCGTCCTGCCGGTCACTTTTTCGTCTCCTCCCTTCTTATGGCCGGCAGTCACGCGAGAGCAAACAAAGAAAGGCTCGGGTCTGTGGAAGAAACACTGCACGCAGCTGCCTCGAGGTGTTCGCTTCCCCGATGGCATTCCATTTCCCTCGGGGAGCCGAGGTGCACGCTAGGTGCTGAACCTCTAGGGTGGATGGAATACTGCGAGAATGTTTGATTCTGGAGATTCGAACCGTAACTCGTATCAAGTTCGGTTGGCTAACGTAGCCCGAAATGGTAACTGGTTGCTGGATAATGCAGAGTAGCCAGACTCGCCCGGCTAGGAATGCGGAGTTACTGTAATCCGTAGTTACAAGCGATACTACAGTTTAAAACGATTGCATTGAGCGGATTTGTCCAGAGACGGATTTTGAATAATTTGAAGACGTAACTTGTAACTAATGGGAATGCATTGCACGTACAATAAATCTGCTCCTGGATGTAATACTACTGCCGAGTGAACTTAGCTGTCGGTCTGGATAATCGTGAATATTTTCCATGTTCTTGCATCGCTTGTAACATACTCTGGCCGAGTTAACCCGTCCTCTGGGGTACTTCAAAGGATACTGGGCTTAGCTCAGATTTAGCTCGAGTTAAATTGTCCGTTGCGATCAAAGAAGATCCCACAGACGGACCCAATGGAAACTGAAAGAGCTTGCAAAAGAAACTCACCGAAGGATCCTCTCCCTCTCGAGCAGCTCCTCGGGATTCGGTTGAGCTGGTCCTAACAAAGCGTGCGACAACGGCGGGTACCTGGGCGACCTCCAAAGCATCTCGGATGCCACCGCTGGATGATGATGACCCGGTGGCGCTGAACTCTGATAGGCAACCGGCGGTGCCGCTGCTGCCGCCGCGGCTGCGGAACTCGGGCCAGCCGTGGGCGGTGGTGCTGGGGGATGCGCCATCAGCAACGATGTGTGCTGTATGCTCTGCACGTGCCAAACGCGGGCCGGCGTGGTGGCGGCCGTTGGTGTCAACAAGGTGGTGTTCTCGTCGACGCTGAGAGCGGAACTCCTGCTACCGCTTCTTTCGTCGCCGGAGCCGGCGCTCCTCAGGGAGCTTACCCCGCTGTCGGAGCCGCTGTCGCCATAGGTTCCGGTCGCGGCGGCGCCACCAGCCGCGGGTCCGACACCTCGAATACCGACCGCTGTTGGCACACCGGCGAGGACACCAGTTCCAGGTATACCGGCCCCCGCCTCCACTTCCATAAGGCCGGCCTCATCGCCGCCCCTCCCAGTGTGAGACTGCTGTTGCACCTCTAGGAGGCTCGACGAGGCCAGCTGATGATGATGCTGGTGGTGTTGATGGGGACTGCTGGCCACTCGATGCTGGTGTAACTGCGGCTGCGACTGATGCTGCGGTTGGGAATGATGGTGTATCACCGGGCTACCGGTCGAGTAACGTTGTTGCTGATGATGATGTTGCTGCTGCTGTTGTTGTTGTTGTTGTTGCTGCTGCTGCTGCTGCTGCTGTTGCGCCTGTTGATGGTGATGCTGATGGTACTGTTGCAGGTGATGGTGATGGTGTCC